TCAAGGGTGCTCAAAATCCCGCAGGCCAGCCTGCACTTCTGCTCCCCTCTTTCCTCTGCTTCCCTGGGTATAGCTCACAAAGGGAACCTCAAATAGGTCATTTGTAACACACGTCACTGAATGCCAGCCAGAGGGATGGTTGGCTTAGTTTGGGGAGAGCCCTGTGGCTGTTAAGTGATGATTAATGGCCACACCTCCTTGGAACTCCTTCATCTTTCTCCCAACTCCAGGGTCCTTTATTAAGACCTCCTCTTCAGGCCTCTCCAGGGGCTGAGGAAGGCTGAAATGAGAAGGGATATGGAAGTAATGCCACTAGTAGCCCCCGCCCTGGTCTCTGCCAGTTGCAGCATAGGGTTGAGGGAGGGAGACTCTGCCCAGGTGCCCTCATTTTGTGCTCTGGGGGTACAAGAAGTGGACCAGTTTGGGCAAGGAGGAAGTCTAGCAGACTGCCTTCCATATCCCTTGCAGCAGCTTGGAGCATGAAGCCTAGGTGAGGAGGTCTGCCTGTGAGGGGAGCCTTGAGCAAGCAAATAAATGTTTGCTAAAAAGTAAACTACAAAAAGATCTTGTCCCTGATGCTGGGAAGCCTGCCAGGTGGCGGAGACAGGACTGGAGGCATGAATGATGGAAAGGGTAGGATAGGGTTGGGGCGGGGAGCAAGCTCCTTTGCTCATAAGGGCCTCAGAACTCCAGTTCTGTGGAAGCGGGGTCGAAAGGGGTAGCCTAGCACTTCCACCAAAACATAGCACCATGTGCTGAGGTGGGGGCTGGCTAAGTAACCTCTTTGGATCATTTTGGTCAGTTTGGGGAAAGTTGCTGTATTCCCACTCTCTCTCAGCCCGGCTTTCATTCACAGCCTAGGTCTCCACAGAGGCCTAGGAGACAGCCTTTGGATGCACCCTGGCCAGATTTAGATAAATAATGAGACCGGCTGGCCCCTCTCTTCCCACAGGTATCAGAGTCCCCCTTTGTTCCCTGGGGGAGCCTGGGAGCTGCTGGGTCAAAACCCAACCAGAAAATTTTCAAGGCTGGTTCCTATGTGCAAGGGTGGGGTGAGGGGCCTTGGGGGGCGCTTAGAGAAGACGTAGGGGGTTGGGAGAGTGCAGGGCTTTGAGGGAAGGGAGGGGCGGAGAGTGGAAGAAAGAGAAGAGAGGCCGCGAACCGGAAGAAGGCAAGGGATCCTGGGGGGTCTGGGGGTGCTGAGGACAACTTCCCAATTCTGTTCAGAAGAGAAGATGTGAGTCTGGATTGGAGCTGATGGAAGCCTTGGCCCCCAGCCTGGTGGGAGCTCCGGGCAGCTGGCCTACAGACGTTCCTTAGTGCTGGTGAGTAGGTTTGAATCATCACTTAGGCCCTGGCCTCCATCCGCCCCAGCAGCCCCCCCTGGCCTCAGTTCCCTGGCAACATCTGGGTGGGGGGAGCAGAAACAAGGGCCTCTGTCTGCCCAGCTGCCTTTCCTTTTGGGCTCTGCCAGACTCCGCTGTGCATACGTGGTCTCCAACAGGTCCTCTTCCATCTGGGCTACTGACTAACCTCAGAACCACATGCTTTTCGTTCTCAGACCCACACACTTGGTGCCAAATAATTCTCCCCAGGAAGCCTCCCTGGATACTTCCCAAAGGACCCCAGTCACCCCAGCCTGTTGGCTGCAGCTAACTCTGATGAGGGCTCCAGAAGGGCACATTGTCTAGATGGATATACACCAGGCCCTCTGTGCCTATCACTGGGCTCTCTGCACGTGGGACCATTCGAGTGCCACTAAAAAATGCCACTGTTTGAGAAGTCAGAAATGGGGGCGGTCGGGGGGTAATCCTTCACCCTGATCCTGAGGTCCTCTCCCTCTTGAGCCCGAGCTAGGGTGTACAGACGGTAATCACTAGGGGGCGCTCGGTCACCACAGGGAAGCTGGGTGAACTTGTTTGAGCAGTGTCTGCCTGAGTGAGGACGCGTGAGAGTGTGAGTGTGTGCTTGTGGGGAGAGGGAGCTGAGAGTGCTAGCGAGTGGAAGAAGGCCAGGGGTTACCCCAGGATTCCAGTAGATCTGTGTTTCCCTATCTCCACTTTTTCCTGTCCGATCCCCACGCCCCTTCCAATATTCCCAGCAAAGGAGAATAGCTGTCTACTCCTTTCCGCACATAACCTCACTTTCCCGTTCCCGCTCCGCAAATGCCGCGAGTCAGTCTCTGGGCAAAAGGGGGCGTATGGGTAAGGGTAATTTTCAGGCTGTGAAGCTCGGTGGGAGCCAAGCTTTCCCTTCACTGGGGCGGATCGGGGGGGGGCGGCCTAGGCTTCACTAGGTGTCCCCAGGGGAAGGAAGCCCCGGGGGGTCGAGCCGAACACGGCTGGAGGCAGCCGGGTAAGTCTCCGCCTCGGGGGCGTGCCAGAGGCGGGGTCAGGCGGCCGGGGAGGAGCCAGACCTTTTTTTTGGGCGGCTGGTAGCGGTGAAGAGCGCAGAGGCTTGGGGCAGCCAGGCTGCGGGGAGGCCGCAGCGCCGGGGGCGAGTGGAACCGGCAGCAGCGGCGCTTGGTCGGGAGAGGCGGCGGCGAGGTAGACGAACCCGCGGAGTCACCAGTCAGGGGGTCTCCGCACTGGAATATGATATTCATTTATCCAGGGTTTATCCTCCTCCTTTTTTCTTAAACATTTTTAAAAACCGTATTCTTTTCCGTTTTAATTTATTTTTGCTTCCTATTCCCCGCTTAAATCGGGCCGACCGTTTCGGGAGATTGTTTCTGTACTCCCCAAATCACTCCGGATTTTGGAAACCAGCAGAGAGAAGAAAGAGATAGCAAGAGCTCCGGAGAGAAGTCGAGGAAGAGAGAGAGAGAGAGATCGGGTCAGAGAGCGCGCGCGGGAGAGCGAGCAACGAGAGGGACAGGGGTAAAGTGAGTGACCTGCTTTTGGGGTGACCGCCAGAGCGCGGCGTGAGCCCTCTCAGGATCCCGCAGCAGACCAGCAGCGCTGACCGACAGACAGACAGACACCGCCCCCCGCCCCAGCGCCCACCTCCTCCGCGGCCAGCAGCCGACAGTGGACGCGGCGGCGAGCCGCGGGCTGGAGCCGGAGGCCGCGTTCGGAGGCGAGGTGGAGGGGGTCGGGGCTCGCGGCTTTGCACTGAAACTTTTGGTCCAACTTCTGGGCTGTTCTCGCTCCGGAGGAGCTGTGGTCCGCACCGGGGCAGCCGAGCCGAGCGGAACCGGGAGAAGTACTAACTCGAGCCGGGAGGAGCCTCAGTCCGAGGAGGGGGAGGAGGAAGAAGAGAAGGAAGAGGAGAGGGGGCCGCGGTGGCGACTCGGCTCTCGGAAGCCGGGCTCATGGACGGGTGAGGCGGCTGTGTGCGCAGACAGTGCTCCAGCCGCGCGCGCGCCCCAGGCCCTGGCCCGGGCCTCGGATAGGGGAGGAAGAGGAGCTCGCCCAGGCGACGAAGAGAGCGGGCCGCCCCGCAGCCCGAGCCGGAGAGGGAGCTCGAGCCGCGCCGGCCCCGGCCGGGCCTCCGAAACCATGAACTTTCTGCTCTCTTGGGTGCATTGGAGCCTTGCCTTGCTGCTCTACCTCCATCATGCCAAGGTAAGCGGCCGTACCCGCCTGGCGCCGCGGGCAGCTGCGAGCGCCTCTCCCGGCTGGGGACGTGCGTGCGAGCGCGCGCGTGGGGGTTCTGTGCCCCACGCGGGTCCTTGGGCACCGGGCGCGCGGCTTCCCACTCTGTTCTCGTACGTGTAGGGGGAGGGGGCGCGCGCTAGGTGGGAGGGCACCAGGATAGAGTCTCACCGCCCACGCGGGCCCTGCCCACCCACCAGAGTCACCGCACGTACGATCTGGGCCGACCAGCGGAGGGCGGGAGCCGCTGGAGGAGGCCGAGGGGGCTGGGCTTGAGCTGTCGCCGGCTGCTGAAGTTTGCTCCCCGCCGCTTGTCCCCGGCGAACTGGAAGTCCGGGCAGCGGGGGCGGGAGCCGGAGCCCAGCGGGCAGGAGTGTGCTCGGACCTTGGACCGAAGGAGGGCTGAGAGCGTGGAGGGGGCAGGGCGCAGGCGCAAGAGGGGGCTTGCTGTCACTGCCGCCCGATCTCTTCGGCTCTCTCCACGAGTTTAGGAAAAGTTTTGGGGTGGATTACTGCTGAGACCCTCCCTCCCCCCACCTCCGCCGGGCCACCTGCGCGGCAGCAACCCCGTCGGTCCCGCTCGCGTCCCGCTCGGTGCCCGCCCTCCCCCGCCCGGCCGGGCGCGCGCGGCGCGGAGCCGATTACATCAGCCCGGGCCTGGCCGGCCGCGTGTTCTCGGAGCCGCCGCGGCCCGAGCGGGGAGTCCCGGGCAGCGAGAGGCGCCCCTCCCCCCGCCGGCCCTCCGCGGGAAGGTGACCTCTCGAGGTAGCCCCAGCGGGAGGACCCGGAGAACCACCCTGTCCCTTCCAGTCGTTCACAGCCCTAACTCCCTGTGCTAGGAGGAATTTCCTGACGCCCCTTCCCCATTTCCTCCCTAGCGTGGGGAGAAGCCCCGGCCCACCTCTTTATTTGTTTAATTTTTATTCCTCTCTGCTGAGAAGACCCACCTAAACCTCTCTCCAGCCCCATAGTCCAGGGAAAGGATGACCTCTATCCGAGATGCCAGGTCAGGGTGCCAGGGCCCACCGGCTGCATTGTCGAGACTCTACCTAAAGTCCCAACTTAGTGACAGTCAGCTTCCCTCCCTTCCCCCACACTTCCGAGTGAGCCGCGAGTAAGCTTTTATGCGAATGGGTCAAGGGAGGGTTTAAAGAGTGTCATTACCCCACTTTACACAGTTTGGAAAAATGGTTTGAAATTTGCTGTTAAATAGTGCGGAACTAACCCTCCCTGAACCTTTGAAAGGAGCTCCTGCCAGCCTTGCAAACACTTTGTCCTAGTGAAATTAGACGTTGGAGCAGGAGCAGGTGGTTTTTTGGAACTTCAGACTTCCCACCCAATATGATTCACAAAGCCACCTAGGAGGTCATTTTTCCACCTCTCCCTTAGACCTTCCCTCAGCCCGAGATCCCTTGGAGAGAGGCAGAAGGAAGGAAATGGGCTGGGGTCCCTGCTGCCACCTGAGTTCTTCAGACCCTGGCACAAAGGCCTCGGCTCCAGGCCTGTAAGTAGGGGGCGGGGGGAAGGAGTGGCCGACTGGCCACAGTGTGACCTTCAGAGGCCCCCAGAGAAGGGCACCTGGCCGCTCCCTGCACAGAACTGCACCTCCGTGTGCCCCCTGGCCTTCGAGGGGTATGAAGTTTCTGTTCCCTTTCCTGGCTGGGACCCAGGAGGAGTGGAGGGTATACCTGGTTGGTAGAGGGAAGCTAGGAGATGTCCTGGGATGGGTGAGGGGCTGAGTTGGAGACTGAGTGGCCCCTTAAGGGAGCTGCGATTGGAGACTATCCAGCTGGGAGTCTGGAAACTGTTATCTGACCTTGGCCCTGGGGGCAAGGCTGGGGGACCTGAGGTGCACCGGGGGTGTGTGGGAAGGATAGGGAGCCGGACAGACTGTAAGACTTCCTCTCAGTGGGTCTGCTGTTCTCTGGGCTAGGAGGTGGCTCTGCTGTTCAGAATCTGCCTGAAAGAGGGGCAGGTGGGTGGGCAGTTGGTGAGAATTGGAGACCCTCTGGAAAGGCTGGGAGAAGTCTTTACCCAGTGCTGTCAGGCCCACGTGGTTGGGCTTGTTGACCTTCACAGCTTCTGGGGAGAGGAAGAATCATCTGGTGGGGGTGGGGAGGGATGGGGGAGGCCTCAGGCCTTGGTAGTACAGGGGGCCCCCTAGGGGCTGGGCAATGCTAAGGCATAGAAGGCTTCCCCTGTGGCATTTGAGGAAGGTGCCCAGGTGAGAGGGACTTGCGGACCCTTTCAGCCTGGGAGGGAGGAGGAACCAGGGAACAAGATAGGAAAGTGAAGCTAGAGGTGTAGGAGATACATTCAGGCCCTGGTGAGATCTGCGTATGGGGTGAAATGGGGCTCTACCCTCCCCCGGGGCTTCCTTCCAGGTTTTACCCTCCAGGCAACCTGTGGGTTTGTTGAATATTCCTGAAGCCTGAAGAGTCTGGAGGGGGGAGGGTGGTTGGTGCCCTTCAGTCCTCTGCACCCCCTCCCTTCCCAGCAACAGCTCACCCTGGTATTTGTCATGTCAGCAGGAGAAGGTCACCATGTTGTTTTTCTGGCCCCCAGTCCTTCCTTCTTGCCCCAGTCCAAATTTGTCCTTTTTGACCTTAATACTTACCTGTGGCTTTGGACCAGGGAGTGGGGTGGGGGGTGCTGAGAGGATTCACTTCTCTTAGCCCGGCAGTGGGCCAGTGAGAATGGGGAGAGGAAAATGTGGGGAAGGGGGCGAGGATGTGGGTATTCTGCTGTTTTCCTACTGCATTTGGAGCAAACCCCCCGCCCCCGCCATATCTGGTCAGTCTTTATCTTCTTTTGCTTCAGAATTGGAGCAGTCCAGGGGTGGTGGGTGGGTGGGCTCCGTGCTTTGGGGAGCCTTGGAGAAGCCAGAGGCTGTGGGCTGGGAGGGCCGAAGGCTGGGAGGAGGGAGCAGGGGCAGGGTGGCTAGGCCTGTGTCTCCCTGCACAGGCGCATGTCTCACTCTTTTGTTTTGTCCTCAGTGGTCCCAGGCTGCGCCCATGGCAGAAGGAGAGCAGAAAGCCCACCAAGGTGAGTCCCCTGACCCTTAGATAGGGTCCCCTGACTCCTCCCAGAGTTGTGTGGGGAGGCCCAGTTCCTTCTTTTACGGTCTGTGATAGGGATCAGGAAAGGATGAGATTAACCCTTCATTCTGGAGGACTCTCTTTCCTGTTCAGGCTTCTCTTAGGGATAGGACTTGTGGCCTTTGTCTTCCGTTCTTTCCAGTAAAGTTTTCTTTGGAGAGGGAACTGTGAGCACAGACCAGGAAGACAAACAATGTTCAAGGATCCCAGGTGTCCATCTGTCTCCCCAGGGAGGATGGATACTCCGTGTCACTTCCAACCCAGCATGTCTCCCCAGTGGGGCCTTTGTGGAGGGGCTGTGACACGTCCAGAGACCTGGCTGTGCGTGAGCTGGAGGTGCAGAGGGCCCAGTCTCATGGGATCCCATCCCCCAGTTTGCATTCCTTTGGAGATGGAGAGAGAAAGCCCTAAGGCCTCCCTCTGCCCTCCTGGTGGAGGAGGTTTGGGTGCTGTGAACTTCCTTCCTGGGCCAGCAGAGGGCTGACTGTAGCACCAAGGCGCCCCGCCCCCCCTGCCCAAGCCCCGCCGGCCTGCCTGGCCTGCCTTTTGTTTGCCTCGTTTGGAGTAAGGAGCCTCCCATTTCTCTAGGGATGTCCAGGCTCTCTCCACCACTGCATGTGGCCTCTGCTCCAGCTGCGGGGAGGAGTGCCCAATGCTACTTCCCCAGCTCCCCACCTCTGAGGAGGGCAGGCCCTGGGGTCTTCCTCCAGGTCACTTTCCCTGACCTAAATCCCTTAGGCCCAGCCAAGTGGCCAAGGGCTGGTAGTGATGCACAGCCAGTTTAACCTCCTTCCTGGCCCAGGGCTTGGCTTTCTGGCCACTCCAAGGCCTGGGGCACTGACAAGCCACCCGCTCCCAGTGTTTCCACCCGCTCAGCCTCCTGGTGGTCTCTGTGGCCTGGGAGAAGCAAGACAAATGGCCTTTGTTTGTTGGGGAAAATTGTCTTCGAGAACTGAGGAAAACCACGGAAACCTGAGGGTGGAGTGCGTGTGTGCCTGTGCTCCCTGCCACAGCAGGACGGCGGTCTTCGGAGGCAGTGGCTAGGGTGCTAAGGGTGCTGGTGAAGGTGCCCCCTTCGCCTCCCACAGGCCTTAAGGATTCTAGGGAGCTTTTCCAGGGAATTCTCATCCAGGGTCTTTTACCCTCAGCTCTCAGCCACCATGGCCCAGGCCAGACTATTCTGCTCTCCTGTCCTGGGTAGGACCTGTGGCCCTGAAGCCCGGGCTGCCTCTGTCCCCAGCCATGACAAAATATCAGAGGTCAAGACTTCTTGAGTAGTCATCTTCTTCAGTATAGACTTGGCTTAAAAAAGGACTTCTTCAGATCCCTGGTCTTGCTTGTACCCTATTTGATGACACTTTAAGGCTTTTGGGGTTGAAGAAGAATTCTGTGTCCACGGCCTGGATAGGGGAAGTAGAGACGTCAGGCAGGGCCTGGGGCTGGCTTGGGGGCCCTCACTGTTCTCTTCTCTGTTTCCATACCTGTGGCCTCCCCCACCCACTTCCCCTCAACATTCCAAATTCTCTTCAGCCCACCTGTGGTAAACACAGCCGCCGGGCTCCTCTTCTTTTGCTCATCTGGAGTGTGGAGGGAGGGGAGGCTCAGCTCCAGTCTCTCGGGAGAGGCAGCCTTGGTGAGGTTCCAAACATTGTGTTACCTGGGCTAAGAAAAGGGAGCTTGTTTGGGGGGCTGGAAATGGAAGACAAAACCCCATATTTCTGCCTCTGTTTCAGTATCTTTAGAGATCAGCCCAGCCCACTTACATGGATGTGCAGAGTCTGAGGCACAGGGAGGGAGGGACTGGCCCATGGTCACACCAAGTCATGGCCGGAGCCCTGCCTCTCGCTGACTGGGTGCTGCTCTTTCTTCCTGTCTAAGGGAAATTCATTTCAGGGACAGGATTGCTGCGTGTGGGGGGTGGGAGGCGGGATGTGATAGGGAGTGGCAGGCTGGGCCACAATTTGGAGTAGTCATTCCAGAGTCCTGAGTTTATTTATTCTCAAGGGCCCGCCCCTGTGGCCCAGAATTACCCCTTCATGCTCCGATGCACCTCAGGCTCCACCGCCAGCCTGGGAAGCTGTCTTTGCCCTGGTCTCCCTCCAGATCAGCTTCTAGATGTGCTCCGTGGCTGCAGTGGCAGCACCGTTTTTTCCATGATGCAAGCAGTTTGCCCTCTTGGGCGGGGTTATCGGTGGCTGGCAGCGCCTGCACTGCATGCCCGCCCACTGCCACCTGCTGATTCCAGGCAGCCCTGGACCTGGGCTAATGCCCCCTGCCCCCTCCACCTGTGTCTGGGGAGGGGTCTTGCAAGTGACAGGGTGCCCTAAAGCTTCCCCTCTGTTTTCCTATGGCAATGGTTAGGGAAGGCTTTGATGTTCCAGCTGATTTTAACTCTACCACTTACTAGCAGTGTGGCCTTGGGGCAAGTTACTCAGCCTCTCAGAGCCTCCAGTTCCACACTTGTAAAATGGAGGTCCTACTGGAGCCTCACAGTAGAGAATTGTTTGAGATGGAAGCTATAAACTGCTGGACATGGTGCCCACCCCACTATATGTTTGGTGAATGACTGCCGGCAGGTTGGTAGGGTATGGCAGTGGCTGTGGAGAGGTTGTGCGGAAACGGGGAGCGGGCTGGCTGTTTCCTTTTTCATGGGATGCTTAGAGCACCCCAACGGGTATGCTCCTACCCAAACCCTCCCCTGGCAGCAAGGTAGACCCAGGAGTTAGCTCGGCTGTCATGGTGAGGCAGGCGGATCCGATATGGCAGGCCACCTCCCTCGGAAGCTGACAGCATCCTGTGATCTTTGGCACAAGAGCAGGCCTTCAGCAGTGTTGATAGACAGCTTAGGGGAGGACTTCAACCACAGTTGGAGGGACTTAAGTTAGAATTGTGGACGGGCTTGCCCAAGAGTTGGTCTTCTCACAGCAGCCCTGAGGAGCGGCCTTAAAAAGCCGGGTGGAGATAGGGGTTGGCCATCTTTTGTGTGACCTGCTGGTCTGATGTTTCATCCCCTCCCATGCAGTGGTGAAGTTCATGGATGTCTACCAGCGCAGCTACTGCCGCCCAATCGAGACCCTGGTGGACATCTTCCAGGAGTACCCCGACGAGATCGAGTACATCTTCAAGCCGTCCTGTGTGCCCCTGATGCGGTGTGGGGGCTGCTGCAACGACGAGGCCCTGGAGTGTGTGCCCACAGAGGAGTTCAACGTCACCATGCAGGTGGGCACCTGTGAGGAGGAGGGGCAGGAGGACAGTTGAGAGGAACAGCCAGACTTGCCTTGTTCAGCTCCTGACCCTGAGTCAGTCCGGGAAGGTGTGGGGGCTCTTGTCACTCTGGCGGAAGGGATACCTGCTTTTCCCAGTCCAGGTCCCCAGCAAGCCCCAACCGCCTCCTCTTCCTCCCTGACCTTTGCCCCCTGGGTTCAAGAGGAGGGTGACATCTGAGATGGGAGCCTGTCTTGCCCTCCATCCCTCTTTGGGGCTCTGTTTGGGAAACTGGATGAGCATGGTTTGTGGAGCATTTCAAAGCCAGTTTTTTGGTGCTGCCTGGTGACAGGGTCCATATCAGCCTGGACAGGGCGGGCGGGAGGGAGCTCTGAGACCCCGGGGTGAGGGTCTCTTGGGTTGCGACTAGGGGTCAGGGTGAGGCCCAGAGGGGATGAAAGGAGGGGAGGGATGGGGAATGGCAAGAACCTAGGACCTGAATTCCCAGCCTGGCCAACCCTAGTAGCCATGTCTGCCCTCAAGAGGAGCAGGGGCTCCTTGAGGTCAGCAGGGTTGGGGGAGTTGGGATGGGCCTGAGGCTCTTTCTGGTAGAGCCCCCGGTCCCCCTACCTCCACCACCCATCCCTGCTCTGCAGAACCCCTCGGTGCTGAGTGGCAGGAGCCACAGGGGTGTCCCATCTGGGTATGGCTGGCTGGGTCACTAACCTCTGTGATATGCTTTCTTTTCTAGATTATGCGGATCAGGATTCACAAAGTCCAGCACATAGGAGAGATGAGCTTCTTACAGCACAGCAAATGTGAATGCAGGTGAGGGTGGAGTCACAGATTTATTCGTTCAGAAAATGTCCGTCTGCTCTATGCTAGGGTTAAGCATATTCCGCTTGTTAGCCCATTTCCACCTTTCAGCTGTGTAGCCTTGGGCATTTCAATTTTGCTTCAGTGTGCCTCAGTTTCCACATCTGTAAAGCAGGTACAATAATAGAATGTACCTCATAGCGTTGGTATAAGGATTGAGTCATATGTAAAGAGATTAAAACTGTATGTATATCATAAATACTATATTAAGTTTTCTGTTAATATTGGTATTGTTATTGTTATCATCATCACTAGCATCGCCATCTGAACCACTCTCTGTTTTGTTCTTTTCTCTTTTACCCACTGCAGACCAAAGAAAGATAGAGCAAGGCAAGAAAAGTAAGTGACCATGACTTTAGTTCTCCTTCTCCTTGCCTGGTTTTCTTGGTTTGGGGCTCTTGGCTTCCTCTGCCAGGGGGTCTGATAGCTCCACTGGGTCAGGGAGTTGGTCCCATGAGGACATGTGGTGGCAGCAGTGGGATGGAGCAAACTCCAGGATTATGGCTCTAGACTTAGAAACAAAACCCAGCTTGGAACCTGGAGCCTGGAGCTTTCTTTGGGAGAGCCGACGCGTTCCAGGTCTCCAGCTCATCCCTGGCCAGCACTTGCGGTTTGGTGTGCAAGGGGCAGCATGAACACTGGCTCCCGGGCTTGCTGCAGCCTCCCGCCACCCACCCACAGTGGGGAGAGGGAGTGGGTGGCAGAGAGGCCAGCTCTTGTGCGTCAGGGGAAATGGCCTCTCTGGTGGCTCCTGTGGCGGTGCAGTCGGCTTTGGGGCTGGCCGGGGTGTTTTCTTGGTGCATGCCCTCCTTGTGGGAGTGAGGCAGGCCGAGACCCTCAGCCCTCTTGGCCAGGGAGAAAGTTGCTTGAACTGAGTTGGTCATTTTCTGAGGTTTCCATTGCCCGGTGGAGGGTTGAGAACAGGATGGAGCAGGGGCAGAGGGCAAGGTCTGGGGGCAGTGAGCCTTCAAGGCAGGGTGAGCAGCTCGCCTGGGGGGATGAGTCTGCAGGAAGTGCCTTCCCCTCCCCACTCCCCCACTGTCCTTTCTGCCCAGTGTTCTGAAGACATCGAAGCCCTCTAGGCCTCGACCCCTTGCCTCTTCTTTAAGTCCCCAACTTCCAGGATTTCTCCGGCTACTAGAGAGAGGGAGGGAGGGAGGGAGGAAGGAGGGGAAATGGGTGTATGAGTGTCAAGATCCTCCTCCTTCTAGCATTTTCTCTCAACAAGAGGGAACAGCCTTGCCCCTCTCCTCAGCCCTTTTCCCCTCTTTCTTCTGTGGTAGACATTCTGAGGAACATTCTCAGGGGTCTGTCCGCTATTTCCCTTGACGGCAACAGGCTTCAGCCTGCCCCCTTTGCCCATTCCCCAAATGCCTGCTTTGCCCACAGGGAGAGTGAGGGGCTTGCCTGGGCTCAGAAGAAAGTCTGGTGAGATGGTGTAGCAGGCTTTGACAGGCTGGGGAGAGAGCTCCCTGCCAAGCGACGCCCAGGCCTCTCCTCCCCACGCCTCCCTAACTCCCACTCCACCCTCCTGCCAGCATGCCTGGGGCTCTGAGGACACACAGCCCCACCTCTCAGCCCAGGTTATGGCTCAGGCGGGCTGATGCCTTTTATGTGCCATCCTTGGTTTTGTGCCAGCCCCCAGTGGAGCTGCTCCCCCACACTCACAGAGGCAGGGCCTCTGGCGAGACCCTTTTGCTATTGCACTTGGAAATGAAGACAGAAGGTGCCTGAAGCACAGCCAACAAGCCCCCCCCCCCCCCCCCCCCCCCCGCAACCACCCATCAAATCAGGTCTCTGACCTCACCCAACTCTGGCGTACCCCCTGGCTGTTAGGGTCAGACTTACACAGGGTTGCTGGGCAAAGGGCCTGGCCTTGGCGCTTTGCCCCCTGCCTGGGACCAGGAGCCACCGTGAGCATGGAGGCCTTTGGGGCCTGTGCACTCCAGCCAGCCTCTGCTCCGCACCAAAAGCCTTGCCCGGGGCTGGGTTTGCCACCCCAGGGTGGCCGAAGTGAGCAGAAGGAGCCACCCAATGCTTGCGGCCCCAACTCGTGTGTGCGTGCAAGCTCTTTCCTGGAGCCTGCCTGCCTCCCACCCCTGAGCATGCCCTGTACCCTACCTTCCTCACAGCTTCTCTTCCTCTCCCCTGCCCCCACTCCTCTGGCTCTGTTTTTTTATTTTCCAGAAAATCAGTTCGAGGAAAGGGAAAGGGGCAAAAAAGAAAGCGCAAGAAATCCCGGTATAAATCCTGGAACTTGTACGTGGTGCCTCTGCTGTCTCATTCCCTGGAGCCTCCCCAGAGCCCCGAGTCTAACTCCCGCTCACAGGACCTCTTAATCCTCCACTCCTCTGCCCTCCCTCTCTCCCCCCAGCTGTTATCCTTCCCTCTGCCCCAGCGTCTCTCTCTCTCTCTCTCACACTCCACTAATTGGCACCAATGGGTAGATGTGGTGGCGTTGCTGGTCCCAGGCTGGGGGTGGGTGGGTAGGCAGAGCGGGCCTGGAGGAATCGGGGAGGGAGCTCTGGCTCGGCTGGGCACTGCCTTTCTCTCACCCACTGGGCATTGGTGGCGGGCCCATGTTGGCATGGGTGCCCGGCACTGGTGCCTGCTCGCCCCACTGATTTCACTGCTCTAGGCTTCTGTGCATGTCTGGAAGCTGAGGGTGGTGAGGAGGGCAGACGTGGTGTGAGGAATGGGCTTGACTGACATGAGGCAGCTTGTTGTTGGCTGGAGGAGGAGGTTGGGTGGGGTCAAGCACCATCTGGTGCCCCCTATCTTGGACTTGGAGCTCCTGGAGGGGATGCCCCTATTCCAGCCCAACCCATGGCACCCACGGAAGCCTCCCTGTAGGGTGGCAGCTTCCTCTGGGTTGGAGGCTGTGGTGGGCCCTGCTCTGGGCCCTTTGGCCACCAGTGGCTGGGCCTGTGGACAGGGCCTCTGGGCTGAACCTGTTGTCACACCGTATTTCAGCCCACCTTTGGTGGAGGGGCCTGGGTATGAGCCCTCACACCAGGAGAAGGCAGCCCCCGATAGCTGTCCCCAGCAGGCGAAGAGTCAGGTGTGCTCTTTTTGGGGCAGTAACTGTTGGGGCCCTGTGGACTGAGACTTGCACGTGTCCCCTTGGGACAGCCCTCCCCTTACGGCGGCCCTTTCCTTGCACTCTCTGCCCGTCTGTGTCTGCCTCTTCCCTCGGGCAGGCTTCCTAGCCAGTGCTGCCTCTTTCCGCCGCGCTCTCTGTCTTCCACTGTAGCACTTGGATCCTTCCAGGGCATGGAAGGGTGTGGGGTCCCACAAGCCAGGTGGGGGCCCTGCTGCACATGTGTTAGAGGGTGTTGCATGGTTTTTTTCTCTCTCTCTGCTGACGCTCTAGCTTAGATGTCTTTCCTTTTGCCTTTTTGCAGTCCCTGTGGGCCTTGCTCAGAGCGGAGAAAGCATTTGTTTGTACAAGATCCGCAGACGTGTAAATGTTCCTGCAAAAACACAGACTCACGTTGCAAGGCGAGGCAGCTTGAGTTAAACGAACGTACTTGCAGGTTGGTTCCCAGAGGGCAAGAGAGTCAGAGAGGGGCTTCACACAGAGATGGAGAGAGAGAGAGAGAGAGAAAGAAAGAGAGAGAGAGAGAGAGAGAGAGAGCGCGCGCGAGCGAGAGAGCCAGAGAGAAAGCGGGTACCTGAGAGGGGCCAGCTGCTTGCTTGGCTTCTAGCTGCCTGCCTGGTGACTACTACCTTCTTGGCTCTTGCAGTGGGTGGCAGGTGCTGGCCTGGCCTGACAGGTCCCCTTCAGAGGTTGTCTTGATTGACTGAGTGGGTAGACTGATGTGGCTTAATGTGGTGTGGACGCAAGCTGAGTGTTGTGTCCTGTGGTCCTGCTCACGGTGGCTGTTGGTCCTGACATCGTGATCACTACCTTCGCTATTAATATTGAGAACGCTTCCCGGTATGGGAGATGTAGCCAAATACAAAGCACAAACACCCTCCTTGGGGGGCTTCGCCCTCTGAAGTCTGTACCACCTCAGCCTCTCTCCACAGGGGGCAGAGGTTGAGCCTTTCCTCATACTGGGGCTCTGGAGGGTATGGGCTCTGGCTGTTGGTTTAGCGGGGGTAGGAGATTTAACATCTGGGGACAAAAGATTTCTTTAATACGCTAGTAGTTACGGCAACAACCCCTAAGAGCCCACAGGTTTCAAATGCCCCAGGATGAATGGTGGGGAAGGCTAATGCCCACTTTCCTAACATCAGTGAACTAACGCTTACACGTGGGCCTGGTTTTTATGCACCTGTGTGACCCCACCCCCACCCCCCCAAGGCATCTGTACCTCTCTGTTCCTTGTCTACTGTGGGGATCAAGGAAGTGTCAAGTGTGTGAGTGAATACATGGGCAGGTTCGGGGGGTGAGGGTCAGGAGCACAGGGCCTTGGCAGGTGGCCGACAATCTTTTGGTGCCTCACCTGGTGTTTATACCTCACCTGGCCTGTGCTCAAAGGTGGGGAGCCCTCTGGGCCAGTCTAAGAGTCACCCAGGGAGGAGGGGCTTTTATGGGGACAGCCCAGGCAGGGCCAGGGTGTCCCCTGGCTAGTCCCATTGTTTCATTAACAAAGCCCTTGGAGTGTGGCTACCTCTTCCCACCCCTCATACTCCTTTGGCTCGTGGGTGTTCAGGGATGCTGGGGACCAAGTCTTGGGGTGTTGCTCTGGAGCTCTGTCTGTCTTGGTGGTATGTGAAGACAGGAAGTGTGTACTAGTGTTGGCGGTGTGGGCTCAGCCTAACTCCAGGAATGGATGCGGGATCTCCACGCCCCCTGGGAGCCTGGGGGCAGATGAGGGACTTGCCGTTTTAGGGTTCTGTAGAGATTATTCTGTGGAGAGGCTGTCCGGGATGGGGGTGTCTGAAGTGACCTGGGAGCTAACTGAAGGTACCTCAGCTTCCGAGACCTCCCCCAGGCCCTGACTTGGCGGGATGGGGAAATTCAGTACCCCAGCTAGAGGCTTAAGATCCATATTCTCAGACTCAGAAGGGCAGGCCTGCTCTGACCCCCTCCTTTCCTTGAGAGGGGAAAAGACGATCAGCCCAGAGGCAGGGACAGGATGAGAAACTTCTTGGAGTCCGTCCGCTTCAGTGTGAGTAGCACAGCCACCAATTGTCTCTCCCACCCTACGTGAAATATCACATTGGAAAGGAGAAGGCAGCCTGGTACCCAGGGCCTGCTGCTGCCAGCGAGCTCAAGAAAGATGAGGCCTGTAGCTGAGGCTGGGAGGGTGGGCGTGGAGAAGGGAGTTGCGTCCCCCGCCTTCCTGGGCTGCAAGGAAGGGGAGGCTGCCTGCCTCACCGCCAGATCTCGTCACCTGGCCCTAACCCCCAGCCTCTGTTTTCCGTTCCCTGCAGATGTGACAAGCCAAGGCGGTGAGCCAGGCTGGAGGAAGGAACCTCCCTCAGGGTTTCGGGAACCAGACCTCTCACCAGGAAAGATGGATACAAAATGACTGATACAGAAACCACGCCGCTGCCACCACACCACCATCACCATCGACAGAACAATCCTTAATCCAGAAACCTGAAATGAAGGAAGAGGAGACTGCGCAGAGCACTTTGGGTCCGGAGGGCAAGACTCCGGCAGAAGCATTCCCGGGCGGGTGACCAAGCACGGTCCCTCTTGGAATTGGATCGCCATTTAATTTTTCTTGCTGCTAAATCACCGAGCCCGGTAGAGAGTTTTATTTCTGGGATTCCTGTAGACACACCCACATACATATGTTTATATATATATATATTATATATATAAAAATAAATATATATATTTTATATATATAAAATATATATATTCTTTTTTTTTTTTAAATTAACATTGCTAATGTTATTGGTGTCTTCACTGGATGTATTTGACTGCTGTGGACTTGAGTTGGGAGGAGAATGTTCCCATCCAGATCCCGACACGGAAGAAGATGGGAGGAGAGACTCTAGCATGATCTTTTTGTCCCTCTTTGGGAAGCCAGCGTCCCCTCCCTTGCCTGGGAACACGCAAGGCCAGGGCATGGGGGCAAATTTGGCCTGCTTTTGGGAACGCCGACAAACCCAGCCCTGGTTCCGAGCCTCTACCCCAAGCCAAACGGACAGTGAGACGGACGACTGGTACAGGGACGAGGACGCTGGCTCTGACCGGGAGTTTGGGGAGCCTCAGGACACTGCTGTGCTTTGGGGACCCCTTTCGTGTGCTGCACGGGCATCTTACCCCCAGGGGCACTGCCTGGAAGATTCAGGAGCCTGGGGAGCCTTCACCGACTCTCGCCTGCCTCTGAGATGCCCAGGAGGCCACTGACAGATGTCCTAGTGGAGAGAAGAGAGACACTGGTGGAAGAAGAGCAGCCCGATGACAGCTCGTTGTCTGCGGGAGGGGCCTCTTGCCTTGGCCGTTCCCCTGCTCCCCTTGCCGGGTGCAGCCCAGGGGGCCTGAAGTCCTCAGACCATTGAAACCACTAGTTCCGTCCCCCAGGAGACCTGGCTCTGTGTGTGTGAGTGGTTAAACCTCCTCTGTCCCCCATCCGACCCTTCCCGCGGCACAGAGAGGCAGGGCAGGATCCATGTGCCCACCATGGAGGCAGAGAAAAGAGAAAGTGTTTTATATACGGTACTTATTTAATATCTCTTTTTAATTAGAAATTAAAACAGTTAATTTAATTAAAGAGTAGGGTTTTTTCAGTATTCTTGGTTAATATTTAATTTGAACTATTTATGAGATATATCTCTCTCTTGCTCTCTTCTTGCTCTCTCTTATTTGTACTGGTCTTTGTGTATAAAATTGATGTTTCCAGTCTCTCTTCCCTGATCGGTGACAGTCACTAGCTTGTCCTGAACAGATATTTAATTTTGCTAACACTCAGCTCTGCCCTACCCTTTCTTTCCCCTGGCTCCCACCACACATTCCTTTGAAATAAGGTTTCAATATACATCTACATACTATATATATATTTGGCAACTTGTGTTTGTATATATATATATGTTTATGTATATATGTGATTCTGATAAGATAGACATTGCTATTCTGTTTTTTATATGTAAAAACAAAACAAGAAAAAATAGAGAATTCTACATACTAAATCTCTCTCCTTTTTTAATTTTAATATTTGTTATCATTTATTTATTGGTGCTACTGTTTATCCATAATAATTGTGGGGGAAAAGATATTAACATCACATCTTTGTCCCTAGTGCAGTTTTTCGAGATATTCCGTAGTACATATTTATTTTTAAACAGCAACAAAGAAATACAGATATATCTTTAAAAAAGCATTTTGTATTAAAGAATTTAATTCTGATCTCAAAGCTCCTCCTGGTTTCTCCTTCTCCATTGAATCTTTGTTCCAGACTTCCTCCTGCCCCCTTTCCCTCCTCCCTTGGGGAACATAAATGTGACATTTATTTGAGGCCTGGGAAAGGGGTCCCAGGTGTGTGTACAACATACGGCATAAGGTACCTCATTGTGCTGGGGGCCAGAGTACTTCCGTCCCGGCTGGGCTGGTCCTGGGGGACCTGTCCGTCCTGTGCCATGACATAGCGGGGCAAGGAGCACTCTGGGAATGGGGGCTGGAGAGAGAGCCCGGGGCTCCGCAGTAAGGAGTGCCACCTGAGGGATCGCATGGTCCTGGCCCTGCACCCTTGGTCAGGGGGGGATCTGGCCGTGTGTCTGAACCAGGAAGGGGGAGGGCTGGGCTTGGCTGTGGGGCCTTGTTGGCTGCAACAGGCTGGGATTGAGAAGGACGCTCATGGGGGTCTGGACCCAGTATATACTTCAGTTTTACTTAGTCCTGGAGTTCCTTGAGCCCCTGGCAGATAGACCCATAGCTCTGGTTGCCCCGAGGGGTCTTTTCTCCTCTAGTCCTAGGAAAGGTAGACCCTGTCTGGGTCTTGGGCATGTACAAGCAGTGCTTTCAAACCCATTTCTTTTATGTTGGGCCAGCCACCACCACGCTAGGGCAAGGGATGCTGTTAGGACTAAGACAAATCCCAACCCTCACTGATCTGGTGAGGGGACACAGAACTATAAATACATGAATAGAAAAGCACATAAAATATGATGGGGGCATCTGACCCAGCTTGGGGGTGGGGGATGTAGTGGGGGTGGCAGGGTCGGGGGTCTTCTCATGACGTTACGTCTGGGCTGGCCCTTAAAGAACAAGTGGAAGAAGACAGGACAGGGAAGGGAGGGAGACAGGGTTGAAGTGGACATCCCAGGCAGAAGGGATCGTGTGAGCAAAGGCGTGGCAGGAAGCGGCCACGGGTGGAGGCTGGAGTCATGGGGAGCCGGCAATGCCGCCACCAGGCCAGCGCCCACAGCCTGAGCAGCAGCTGAGGAGTTTTAAACAGGGAGCGGCATTCCAGCAGGGCGGCAGGCGGGGAGGCCAGCCGAGATGCCGCGGGTGGTGGAGACTTCCGTGACTGTCGGGGAGGGCGCGGCGCCTCTGCTGCTCCTGGCTACACTGTGAGGAAGACTGGAGGCAAGGTCGCTGCCCTCACTGGAGATTTCGTTCAAGTAAGCGCTCCTTTCCAAGGCCCTTTCCACCTGCTGGTGCTGACACTGGGTGACAGTGAGTCCACACACCTGCCCCGTGAGGTGGGGGCTGTCACCATCCCGAGCAGATTATTTGCCTGGCCCTCCTGACAGGTTTCCTGATGGTCCTCTCGCCTCCCTTTAGTTGCTTGATTCTCACACAACAGGCAGAGCGAACCTGTTAAAATATGAACCCCGTCATGTCGCATTTTGGCTCAAAACCCTGCAGAGGCTATGTTTTACTCAGAGAAAAAAGCCAAGGTCTGTACAATGGCCTTAAAAGGCCCTGCAGCATCCAGGCTGCCTTTACCTCCCTGACTCAGTGACTTCTGATCCCCTTGGTCAGCGGCTCCAGCTGCACTGGCTTCTCTGCCTCAAACAGCAGGCAGGCTCCCTCCTTGGGGCCTTTGCACTGGCCGTTCCCTCTTCCGGGAGCACTCTTCTCCCAGACCCGACTGCCTTCAAGCCTTGTCGCCTTCTCAGCGAGGATGCCTTGGCCGCTGCGTTTGCAGTGGACACCCTTTCTTCACTCTGTACTCGGGATCTTCCTGTTCACCACCGCTTTGCTCCCATAGCATATAAAACCTTCTACACATTGTAGAACAGAGTCGTCCAATAGAACTATAACATGAGCCACATATGTACCTTAACGTTTTCTAGGAACCAGATTTTAAAAGATAAAAAGGAACGGGTGGAATTGATTGGAATCATACATGTCACTTAACCCCAACATATCTAAAATATCATTCCAACATCTGATCAATATAAAAATCTTTGAATCTGTTGTGCAATTTGTTCTTATTGCACACCTCAATTGGGAGTAGCCACACTTCTAATGCTCAGTACACACATGTGGCTAGTGGCCACCATTTTGGATAGTGTAGCTCTACAATTTATTTGCCCTTTGGTCTTTCTCCCCCCATACCCATCACCACCAGGATGCAAGCAACACGAGGGCAGAGATTTTTGTCTGTTTTGTTTCTTGTTTTGTCTCCAGCTTCTAGAACAGTGCCTGGAACCTAGAACATACTCAATAAACATTTTTTAAACCGAGCCCTGGTAACTGAGGGTTTTGTCCCAAAACTGTGAGGGCGGATGAGGGCTGGCACTGGACAGAGTGGTTGGTGGAGGGGGCTGTGACAGAAGGGATTCTGGGGCTTTCAGGGAGGTGGGGATTGGAGGGGGATGGGGGAAGGGGAAGGGGGCTCAGCACTGGTGGCGTTAGAAAGAAAGGCCTCTCCGTCAGTCCAGGCCTTGTCTCCTCCTTTTAGCAACCCTCGAGTTGGGGCTCATTATTTTGCTTGGCAGAGGTGAAGCTGGAGGCTCAAAGGGGGTAAATAACCTGCCTGAACATTTACGTACAGCCAGTAAATGGCCAAGGCAGAATTTAAACCAGCTTTCCTGACTCCAATTCTAGTGCTCTTTCCACCACACCACAGTTGCCCCAGGCTAGGGCAGAGCATCAACAAATAAAAATGGATCGTCTAGACTCAGTACAAACAGGCAGAAGAAAAGTGGAACAGGGGGAGGATGCGGTGGTGGCCAAACCCAGGGCTGAAATCCAGACTTCCTCAAGTGTGGTAAGGCAAGGAGAAGGAAGGCAAGAGATGTCTCTAGGGGCTGGGGCTCGTCAGTGGAAAATCCGAAACCCAAGTACGAAAAGAGATTGCAACATGCAGCCTCGGAAGAGAGAAACAGTCTTTAAATAGATTATGGAGAAAAGAAGGATAAAATGAACATGCCACTTCCCCCAGTTGTATAAGACCTGCCCATACACCCTCCTGCAGCTTTCCCAAAGGGTCGCGAAGGCCCAGAGAAGACCCACTCAAGTCCCAATGCCTCTGTTCTCTGTCTTAGGGCCTGCCAAGTTGTCCCAGCTCATCTCCCCGCCGTGGGACTCACATCTTCCTTCTGGTCTGATCACCATTTTCCCTGGAGATCCTCAGTGCTCCTTCTCAACTCCGCTCTGCCCACCCTGAGTCCCTTCCCTTTTCCCTAAGGAGTGATCTACCCTGGTCATAGCCCCTAAGGTCTGTGGGGTACTTGCTTCTCCAAAGAAGCTGCCAGTCTTCTCTCCCCCCCGTGCAAGGAGGCTAGGTGGATCCATACAGACCTTGGTGACTCGGTCTGATTCGGGTGTTAGGACCGCTGCGGTGGCCTGCGCGCAAGGATGGCTGCCAACCGTTCTTTCCACCCCTGTGCCTGCAGGCTGCTCGCTCCATCGAATGGGGTCTACTTTTCACCCTTCGAGTCTGGGCCGGCCTTATGACTTGCTTTGACCAAGAGGATGTGGCAGAAGAGATTCTGGGGCTTTCAGGAATAGGCCTTAAGGGACGTTGCGGTTTCCATTTTTTGTCCTCTTGGAAGGTAGTGGCCACACTTGAAGAGAGAGGCCTGCTGGAGAGAGAGGCCAGGTAGAGACAAAGAGAGAGACTCAGGCAGAAAGAGCCCCCAGCTGTTCCAGCCAGCCCAAGCTGAGGCAGCAGACACGCGAGTGAGGCCATTTTTGGATTCTCCAGACCCAGGTGGGCCACTCTAGCCAAAAACACATGAAGCAGAGAGAAGTGATCCCCTGTCCAAGTGTAGAGAGTTGTGAGCAAATATATGGGCTGTTGTTGTTTCAGGCTATGAAGTTTTGGGCTGGTGGTAACACAGCAATCATAACTGAGGCATCAAACTAAACAGTCACTTTTTTGGGGTTAGGACCTTTGGCCCTTCCCATTTGTAAAGTTTTACTGGTATACATGATGGTTTTAGGGTGTAAAGGGAGGTTCAAAGATGGCAGGACATATTTATAAAAGAACCAGAGGCCAGGGATCTGCCCTGATGGGAAGACTCAGGGCAAGGACCGAGGCAGGATAAAATATTGTCCAAATTTCTAGAGCGAGGAAAGTAACTCAATTTTATTGAAGTCTCACTGAGAGAAAGTGAGCCTTACTTAAAACATGAGGGTGAGAGGCTAGATGGTGAGAAGAACTGACAGAGAAGCACAAGGGATTGGGAGGAAAAGACCATGGACTCTTTTTCATCCCTTCTCTTTCTTCCTCCCTCCCTCTGCTCCTCCTGCATTTATGGAATATCGGCCTTATGGGCTGTGCCCTGATACAGAACCATCTCTCAGTTACTCGGGGTGGCTTTAGCCTATGCCAGCTGATAGACCGGGCATGGCCTAGCTGACCCCTGTGAGGCCCCACCAGGCTGGCTTCCGAGTTCTTGGGAGGTAGACTTCAGCACATCCACAGGGCATTATTCATCAGGACATAGGGAAGGGGGAAGGGCAGGGAAGGAATCAGTAAATATTTACAATCTGCCTGGAAAGGGAAAATGCAAGGCAAACATAGGGCCTGGCAGAGCATCTGTAAAGGAGGGGAAGGAAGTGACACAGAAAGAAGAAGAGTGAGTCAGAAGAAAAGAACCCACTGGGCATCGGTGGCTACAGGAGCAAGGCTAGGCCTGGGTCTCCTCAGGATGAGAGTTCTCCACAGGCTGAGGTTTGAAACAAATTTTTTAAGGTTGCATTTGCCTTTGGGGAGGCTAGTCTGTTAATGAAG